CCCCCCCCCCCCCCCCCCCTGCCCACCCAGCTGGCAGCGGCTGCAGGTGGTCCCCGCTTGCCGCCGTCGACACCAACACTAGCAGCGGCGAGTGGTCTCTGCTTGCTGCCATGGTGCCCCACCTCAGTCTTGGGAGGCACCAGTCACATTCATGCCTAGAATGAAACCTCTCCCCGGCTTTTGGAGCTCAAAATACTTTATTCTCTCTTTCAGAGGAGGAGTTCTTTTTGAGATTTTTTCTTCAATTTCAGTCAGTTTGGTCTTAAATGGTGTTTTTTAAATGAAAAAATTAAGCATTTCATTTTGAAATATCAAAATTAAATGTTGTAAATTTTCAATTTTGGGACTGAAACCTTTCACCAAATTCAACCCAGTTTGCTGGTAGTTCTACTTGCCCAGGCACTGCCCTTTTTGATAAATAAACCATTTATCCAATAAATTTCCCACAAGTACAGCTGAGTGAAGTTTCAAGTGATTGACTATTCATCCTATTTACAGCTTTAATTGAGAAAGATATTAACAAATATTTTAGAGGCAAGGCTTTTTGTGAGTGATATGTTTTATTAGACCTGGTTCGGATAAAGTTAGACAAGCTTTCACAAGCATTAGCATGGTTGGGGTAAAATTAGACAAGCATTCACAAGCAAGGCATTCTTCATTCAGAGACCTGCCGAACAATGCTTTGCCTTTGAAAGCTTGTCTAACTTCATCCCAACGGTGCAACTGATCCAATAAAAGATATCACCCACAAAAATCCTTACCTCTCACGTAATCCCTGGAGCATCACAGCTACAATATCATTCCAACATTACCACAAATATTTTAGGTACCCATTACATTAGGGCCTTCTTTAACATAAAAAGTATCACCAAAATCTCAAACTTAAAATATTGTCACAGTAGGCACAAACAGCTGGGCAGGTTGAGTGAGTATCACCTCTGGCTTACCTTCAGGCCATTCACTGCATGTTGGTGGCTAATGAAGCGCTCATATAATGGCCCATCTTCCGCGAGTGTCCCCTATACAGCAAGTGGGTAGTGACAGTCTCACCGCAGTGTCAGCTAAAGCGACAGATGGGAAGGGGTGGGTGGTGACACAAATGAGGGCTAGCTGCCTCCAAAGGGTGGTAGAAGTCTGCAAATCACAAGGCGTGTATGCAGGAACTCGAACCATCAGAAGTGGTGATTAGACCCTGCAAAACATTTGTTTTTTGGGGCAGATGTTTATTTACCCACTGATGGCAGCAGTGCCATAGCTACTTTGCTTTCCAAGGGATGGAAATAATAAATGCAGCTGCTAAATGTTCACTGGGAAAACGGGGCAGTATATTAAACACTTGAGTGCGGGCACAGTTAAAAACAAACCTGAGGGCTTGGTGAGGGGCAGGGGGATCTATACATCCCAAGGGAATTTCCAGTACTGCAAATCTGGCAATATAACATGGACATGAACTGCTTTGTGACCCCAAGGCACTTAGGCATATGCCCAACTTTAAGCATTTACATCTCTATTCATCAAAGCAGTTAAGCATGTGTTCAATGATAACTGTCTGTTTAAAGTTTCATTGACTCCAATGGGACATAAGTGCCTTGATGAATTGAGGCTTTAAACCCGGATTTGACTTGCTCCATGCAGACACGCGTTATAAAGAGGACACATTTTCTGGTGGTTCTTTCTAATGCACAATGATGCTTAGATATTAATTCTTTGGAACAGGAGCCAGCTGTTTGTTTTGTTTGTACAGTGCATAGCACAACTGTAGATGCTACAGCTACAATACAACTCTATAAGCAGAAGAACAAGAAATGGATCTCTGTGTTTTCCTGACATGGGCACTCAATATAGCCCTGGAAATAAGTAACCTGGGTGTTTGGTGTTAATTCAAGTACAGACCCCAGTAGGTAAGAACTGTGTGAGGCCCGAGTGATATGGAAGCTAGTGCTGTTGTGCAGATACAAAGAGCAGGAGAGGAAAAATCCAGCAATGAAGGGGAAAGGTCTCCATCCAAGCAGGGGTGTAGGTTGTAGCCATGTTGGTCTAAGGACATAGGCAGACAAGGTTCCTTGGGTGAATCTGATATCTTTTTATTAGACCAACCCAAATAGTTGGAGAATAGTTATTAAGCAAGCTTTCGGGTTCAAAAACCCTTCATCAGGCTAAGGAAGTTTCAGCAGTTGGTGTGTGCTCTTCCTGGATGGAATGAAAAGTAAAGAAGCCAGGGGCTGGGCTGGGGAGTCAGTTGTCAGGCAGATTATAATGTGTCATAAATCCAGTGTCTATATTTAGTCCATGATTTTTAGTATCCAGGAGGTTGATGAAGTGGAGTTCATAGGCTCGTCTCTGGGAAGTGTTGTGCAAGTTTCCTTTGAGGATCAGGACTGAGATGTTGGAGAGAGAGAGAGTGGTTTTCTTGTGAGAAATGTTGCCAACACATCTTCACCACCCCCACTATTACTACACCCCACAACAGAGCCATCAGCATTCCTGGATCTTACAGCTGCACCTCCAGAAATGTAATACATCTCATCCAATGCACCAAATGCCCTGATGGAAAATACGTAGGAGAGACCAAACAACAACTGCGCACCAGAATGAACGCACACCGGAAATCTACCAAAGACAGAAATACCCAATTACCTGTGGGGGCACATTTCTCACAAGAAAACCACCCTCTCTCTCTCCAACATCTCAGTCCTGATCCTCAAAGGAAACTTGCACAACACTTCCCAGAGACGAGCCTATGAACTACACTTCATCAACCTCCTGGATACTAAAAATCATGGACTAAATATAGACATTGGATTTATGACACATTATAATCTGCCTGACAACTGACTCCCCAGCCCAGCCCCTGGCTTCTTTACTTTTCATTCCATCCAGGAAGAGCACACACCCACTGCTGAAACTTCCTTAGCCTGATGAAGGGTTTTTGAACCCGAAAGCTTGCTTAATAACTATTCTCCAACTATTTGGGTTGGTCTAATAAAAAGATATCAGATTCACCCAAGGAACCTTGTCTGCCTCCATCCAAGCAGAACTTTCACAAGCCACAAGAAAGCAAGTCTACTGATCGATCCATTGGCAAAAAATCCTGCTTTGGGCTGTCATGGATAACTAGCCTGTTAGCAGCACAGCTCCACCTGAATCTGACTCTAGAAATCAATCAGCACTCTGAATTTAAATTGTAAAGGTGTTAAAGTCTAGGTTTTGCCATTACCTCACAGAGTCAACTTACAGCAGGTTTGAAGGTGAAGTCCAGTCCACCAGGCTCAGATCCAGTACCTCATGCTTGTACAGGTTTCTATGTGATGTGCCAGCTACTGCAGATCAGAAACAGAATCAATCAATTCAGCTCTAGGAAGGAAAGTAGAAAAGGGAAAGGCTTGCAACTGGATAGTTTGAAAAGGACATGCTTAACTCAGCTTTGACTGGCAGGTAGTTCCTTCTGCTTAGAAAAAGGGGGGAAAAATCCTTAGATCTACAAATATACCTCCAAGTTTTTCCATATTTTTTGTATTTCATATATTCAAATGGAATATATTCATATAATTGGAAATAATCTCACATCCTCCTGCAAAATTTGCAGCGTGAAGATCACAGTGTAGCAAAGTGGACTATAAACAACATTTAAACTGAGCTCATTGACCTCAAAGCCAAAAAAGAGGCAAACTGTGCAAGCAGCAAAAACTTCACTTGAATTTTAAAATTCTTTCACTGGTAATATCTAGTCTCAATCTTGAGAGGACTTAAGGTTTCAATGAAGCTGCAGGGCCTAAAATCATGTCATTCATGAACTTATGTGTTTGTAACTGCTCTGGGCCTAAGACGCTCTTAGGATCATAGGAAAGTACAACTGGAAGGGACCCCATGAGGTTGGTCATCTAGTCCAGCCCCCTGTTCAAGGCAGGATCATCCCAGACTAAACCATTCCACTCAAGTGTCTGTCCAACTTACTCTGGAACATTTTTTTGAAACACCGTACACCAACATGAGCAGCAGGGTACTGGTGAATGGGTTCCTGACCACTCTGACAGCGGTGGAGTTGGGCATCCAGCAGGGATGATCACTCTCCCTGATCCTGTACATCTATGTGATGGAACCACTGGCCCAACATCTCAGGTGAGACCCTGAAATCTATGGAGTGGAGATTTCTGGGGCAGCGAGGCACAGAAAAGTGTCCTAGCCTATATGAAGGACCTCAGCATCCTACGCAGGGATAAGTGGTCAGTGGAAAGAGTACTGCAACATGCCTAGGTGTACAGAGCAGTAGCAGGGACTAAGCTCAACGTGGGCAAGAGCACCTGCCTAGCACTAGGCAAGCTCAGGGAACTGTCTACCCTGGGGGTCTTCATCCCCAGCGAGGCAGTAAAAATCCTTGGAGTGGAATCCAACCCAGAGCTAACAGGCCAGAAAGCATGGAAGAAGACTGAGGCCAAGACCAACAGAGACCAGGACTATGGAACACGTGCCACCTGTCTTTGCAGGGGCACACGGCACTCATAAGGACAGGGTTGTTATTGGTGCTTCTGTATACCACATTGGTCTTCTCTCCCCCAACCAAGGCAAACTGTCCATAAAATCCAGAAGGCCATATGCATCTTCTTCTGAGGCTCCAAATGGGAGAAGGTTGTGAGGGCCATGCTGTACAAGACTAAACAGACCAGGGGCCAAGGAATGCCAGACATTCTGCTGTTCCTCTGGGCCAAGTAAATGAGCCGGATCTGCAAACTGGCAGCTGAGGCAGACTCCGAAACAGCCCACTTCATGAGGTTTTTAGCAGGGCACCTGCTGCAATGCTGGAGGGTTGACACACCACCCAACATGAGCCCATGGGCCTTGGAGCTGGAGCTGCTCAAACGCCAGGGAGGTATGGCAGAGAGAAATCATATTCCTCCTTATGGTGACAGGGGTCAAGACCCTGACCAGAGAGGCAGCACTGTTCAGCCATATGACCAAGCAGTAAGGACCCCAACAGCCCACTTTGACCTGCTCATGTACAGACACATGACCCTCCTAGTCAGGGACCACATCAGAATGGGAGTGAGCTTCAGCTATACTACAAGAAGACAGCAGAAGACAACAAGGAAAAAATGGCAGAGGACATATGGAGGAGAAGAGACTGGCACAGGCTGTTCAAGAATGAGGCTGCCAGAGAGCATGGAGATGACAATGAGTGAGAGGACTGAGGGGGAAACAGGGAAGTTTGAAGGGGGGGCAGAGGTGCTGAGGTGTTTTTTCTGCGTGATTATGACATGTAAGAGTGGCGACAGGCATGCAGACACACAGATAAACAGTTGCGATATTGCCATGTGATGATGATGGTTTAACTGTATATTTGTGTTATGGACTGTCAAGTAGACTGGATCAGTCACGCAACAGAACTGTAAAGGTATAGGTGTTAGGGATGAAAGGTTAAATGATTAATTGTTTAACCAATAAGTGCACTGATAACTAGTTGGCTTATCTGTTATAAGTATCTGTCCTGTTATAAAACTTGCAGCAATTACAAAAAAGGTAACGTATCAATTCTGAATGAACTAAATCTATGGATGCTATATGCAAATAACTATAGCTAAATTTAATTTGAAGGTCAGTGTTTTCAATTTTGTTTCTCACTTTCATGTACTCAGGGAAAGCAGGGTGGACAGTAAAGACCAGGGGAAGGGGCTGCAGAGGGAAGAAGCTAGGAGAAAGCAGAGGGCAAGAGGACTACTTAATCCCCTCAGATTCATTTTCCCTGCTGTAGCAACAGGAGGTAGGCAAATTAAAGGCAAACCTCCAAAAATTAGATTTTATACCTGGAACATTTTTTTAAAATTATAATCTTTCCATATATAAAATCTAATTATTGGGGCATCGTCTTATATTCAAGTAATATGGTAATAGATAAGCAAATTTGCTTAAATTATTATTTTTAATTTGCCTTTATCTCTTTAAATTGAAACCTTATAATACTATAAGAAAGAAATAATTTCCACTTCTTTAGCATCATCTGTGTATCTCAATATATTTTATATGTGTCAATTAATTAGCCTTACAATATCCCTGGGTGGTTGGTGAATATTATCATCAGAACTGGATAGAAAATGGGGTATTTTTTTGTGGAAGTTTTAAATTTTCATAAAAACATAGAAAAATATGTTGTTTTCAGCTTGATTGTGAAAATCAAAATGTTTCAAGATACCAGCAGTAGTGCAAATGAGAGCGACTGACACAGCAGATTTTGAGGTTTCAAAAAAATGGTTACTGCCTTTAGCCCAACTCTGGCCACAGAAACTGCTTGTCACACCTCTGGATACCAGAGACTTCCCCTAAGCATTTTATTTTCTGTCAAAAATATATCAAGAGAAGGTTCCCTGTCCCCCAGCCCTAATCATCATCCCATTTGACAAACGGAGAAACTGAGACATGGAGAGATTAGGGTCTCCATGTTAAACAGCACCAGCATGGAGGAGTCCACATGCACTTCTGTGCACACAGGGGCTGAGCAAAGAAAAATAAAGGGTACAGATCATCAGCTAGTAAAAACCCAGGCCATTTTCTGCCAACTCCATAGCAGTTGTACTTATTTATGCTGGCTGAAGATATGGTCCCAGAAACACACTGAAGTCAGTGGTTTGTGAACACAGGTGAGAAGCTGGAATTCACCCCATCCATGTGTGAGAATCTGGAATTCCTGC